CACCAGTTTGCTTCGACCATTCAGATCGTCCAGATGGTCTACCCCACAGGAGTCAGATGACGCCGAGATCGAGCCATAGGCTGATGAACCATACGAAGTAGAGAAGCTGCTGCGATGGAGATGGGCAGGACCCAGTGGCAGGAGGCATAAAGAGTTTTTGGTGTTATGGACAGGGTGGAGTATTGACGATGCCTCCTGGATACCGGCAGGAAATTTCACCTACGCCAGGGAGCTCCAGAAGATGATCAAGAGGGACAAGCCCGAGGAAGACACTAGTATGGGATAGTGTGCTTTCGGGGGCGAAAGCTACCCCAAGGGGGGAGTAATGTGACGTGGCTACTTGGGGTAAGGCAGTTATTTGACATTTTCTGGAGTAGGATTACGTAATTGGCCAAATCGACCTTTTGTGAGCGTTATTAAGAGCTTCCTGGTTCCAACGAGCTTTTAAACGCCCGATTCCGTTAAGAAACGGCGAAGATATGGCCTCCTGAAGTCGTAGTACTTAGGGCCAGGGGGTCGGGTGTTCAATGCTTGGAATTAGAGGACATTAGGTCGATCGTAGGTGAACGGTGGACGGTGGCGATGTGCCTGGACGTGCACCTGACTTGTCTTGTCTTGATGTGACAGCGATGGACCCGCGATCGGGCATCGCGCATGCGGATTTGTGCGCGCGCATGCTGTGAATCGTGTAACACCGTTCTGGCCCACTGCTTGGTCTCTCCGCGACCAGCGAGCCACCGACTGGCTGCGCCACCACCCGCCGCATACAGCAGGCCCCGGGGGACGATCCCCATCGTTCTGGGCCCACCGCGCATCCGAGGGAACGAGCGCCCCGCTTCAGCCCATCGAATTCGGTGGAGAGGGCTGGCTGACCTCCAACAGCCAAGCCGCAGGGCGTGGCGACCCCACGAGCTTCGGAAACCAGCGGCGCCCTTCAGGGCCGCAACAACTGCAGCTGGATGGCGCAACAATTCCTCGCCTCCTACACGGAGGCCACCCGGCGGACCATGTAGGCGAAGTTTGTTTGCTTCAAATCCTTTTGTGAGGAGCACGCCTTGCAGCCGCTGCCCGCTCGCCACGCCACCATCTACCGTTACATTTGGTTCCTACGCGAGGAGGGCAAGGTTGTGACGTGGCTGCTTGGGGTTTAGGCTTATTTGACATTTCTAGAGTGGAAATTACGTAATTGGGTAAATTTTTAAATTTAAACTTTTGGGAGTGTTGTTTAGAGCTTCTTGGTTCTAACGCGCCCTTAAACGCCCAAATCCGTTAAGAAATAGCGAAGATATGGCCTTCTGAAGTTGTAGTACTTCGGGCCAGGGGATCGAGGGTTAGATGCTTGGAATTAGAGGACAATGGGTCGATCGTAGGTGAATGGTGGACGTTGACGATGTGCCTGGACGCGCATTTGACTTCTCTTGTCTTGATGTGACTGCGATGGACCCGCGATTAGGCATCGCGCATGCGACATTGTGCGCGCGCATGCAATGAATCCATGTAACCGTTCTGGCCCACTCTCTGGCCTCCCGCGAGCCAACGAACCACCGCCGCGCTGCGCCGCCACCTCTCGCTGACAGCAGGCCCTGGGGATCGATCCCCATCGAGCATTGGGCCCACCGCGCGACCGCCGATACGTCTGCCCCGGAAACGCCCACCATCCGAGGTGGAGAGGCCAGCAGACCTCCAACGGCTGAGCTGCAGGGCAGGGCGACCCCAGAGCCTCCGGAAACCAGCGGCTGCCGACGGGCCGCAACAAAGGTGGGCGTTCGAACTTTGCTGCAGCATCTTGCGACCATTTCCATGGTGCACCACATGTCCGGGCACCTTGGCTTTTCGGCATTGGCCCCGGTTACCCGTGTCCTCACCCGCACATGGCGCTGGGCTATGCAGGCCCCCATGCAACATCACCGTCCTGTGCCCATCGAGGTGATGATTCGCATCTTCGACGTGGTTTTGACCACGGAGGACAGGGCCTTCCTTCGGGCGGCGTGCGCGGCATACATCGACTGCATCTTTTTCAATCGGGCGCAGTCGGGCCACTTTGTTTTGATGGAGGACATTCGGGTGGATGCCGGCATCGTTTTTTTCACGAGCGCAAGTCCAAGCTGCACAAGGATGCGGCCCCCCGCTTGCGATTCCGGTCCTGGCCATCCCAAGGCACCCTAGAGGTTGTTGAGCTCATTCTTCGCTGGACGGCTTTCCGCGACCGTGCCTGGGCGCAGACGGACTAGGCGCCCCGCCATTTCTATCGACTTCCTGGCGAGGCCTCCCCCAGCTCCAAGACAGTGGCCACTTGGTTTTCAGACTTGCTCGCCCACCACCCGAACATCGCCCAGGAACCTTACACGCACCACGGCCTCCGCGGCCGGGGCGCGTCCAGTTGTTTTGCTTTGGAGGTCGCTGAATGGCGCATTCGTGACTGGGGTGGGTGGAAGTCGGACTCCATATGGTCGTACGTGGACATTTTTCGTTTACCCACTGAGTGGGACTTTCGTTTATTCGGGTGGATGACTATCACCGCCCGCGACCTCCACGCCCAGTTTGGGCACATTTTCTGCCCCGGAGGTGCCTCTCGTGCCCTTGGAGAGTGAATGGGCAAACTGTTATGTAAGGGGACCTCGGGTATGTGGAGTTATTAGTAACGTACACTTTGTTGTAATTGTTGTTGTGTGGGAAACATGACCGGGAGGGTTCAGGAGACCGGTCAGGTGGAAATGCTTTCAACTATATTGTTAATATATTTCCACCCAGGACGATGTTGGGTGGGCTGCGCCGAGATTCGAGTCAGTCGCGGTGGTATTCAAACGGGTGTCTGGCCCTTCCTAATACCTTGGGTAAGTCAAAGTACGGAGTGTCCAAGGTGCCGGCAGTTTTGGCGCCCTTAGACTTGGCGGGCTTTGGCGGGGCTGAGCGGGGGCAGCTATTTAGACTCCCCCCTCGGTCCCCCTCCTATCTTGTTTCGCACCCCGCCCTCCCGCCCTAGAGAGTGGAGTTCGGTTGAGTTGTGGGAGATCTAGGGAAGGTGTGGTTGGCAGTACGGGAAAGGGGGCTGACTCAGGGTCCAGTCGCGGGAGAAAGTGAAGTGAAGTATGGGTGAAGGGAAAGGGCAAATTGTTATGTACGGGGACCTCGGGTATGTGGAGTTATTAGTGACGTACACTTTTGTTGTAATGTGTTGTCGTGTGGGAAACATGACCGGGAGGGTTCAGGAGACCGGTCAGGTGGAAACTGCCATCCACGCGGCAACGTCACCGCCTCAGGTCGGTGACGTCCCCGCCCATCATCCTTGGGCAAATCGGGCGACGTACCCAGAAGTTGGGCCTCTAGCGGCTACGCTCTGCTATGCTCTGCTGCGCTCTGCTATGCTCTGCTGCGCTCTGCTATGCTCTGCTGCGCTCTGCTATGCTCTGCTGCGCTCTGCTATGCTCTGCTGCGCTCTGCTGCGCTCTGCTACGCTCGGCTATGATCTTTGTGGCATTTCACTCTGCACGAAGGTTCAAGTACCCGAGTTGACTCAGCTACCACAAGGGGCTTTGTTCACCGTGAACAGCGGACAACGTCCCTACCAGGCTTCACATGCACTGGCTGGGGCACGAAACTTCTTCCCCTTTCACAATTTCGCAATGAGTGACAGCGCACAAACTGTTGTTAACAGTCTGCGTGCTGTACATGCCCACATGTGCGCAGATGCAATAGCGCTTGCCGGCCCGGCCACCCTTATGAAGTAGGATCACGCACACCTAAACTCTAGCAGCATCTCCTTGCCGGGTTGCCAATAGACTAGTCCCAAACTAAAGGCCAGCCATTGCAAGCCTCCCCTCCCCCCCACAAAAATGAAAAGAAAAAAGAAAAGGGAAGACAAAAAAATATCCATCCACAAACCCAGACCCCACATTGCCCGTAGCTGACCACAGTGCTTTCCCCTTTACAGCCCAACACCAGAAATTGCTTCAGATAATAGCCAGAGCGCGGTGGAAGGCAGGTGGACAAGCAAGTAGACAAAGCGAACATTGCGAACCTCATCCCACAGCAAGGTGCAGACATTCGCAACGCAACAATCGGTGCACAGACTACTTCTGTCTGGGAGCTCCGGGCGCAAATCATCCATCCTAGCAGCGCTGCCAAGCTTTCCGTGTTTCCATCTACTGCCCCCGCTTCGTTTGGCTGTCACCATCATGCCACCCAGGCTGTCCACATGCAAATTAGGAGCCTCACTACTCTTACAGCAAGTAAGCGACGCACTAGGCATCGCTGCCTGTTCGTTGCCAATCGACGAGCGAATGGCGGCTTATTGCCGCTTCCTCACCACCGCACTCCTTGCAAGGCATGCAAGATTTCCACCAAGCTTGCAATGCTGCTGTTATTGTCCAGTGCAAAAGCCTGAAGGCATTTAAAATCAAAACTTTCTGCCGTGATGCCAGGAGCACAACCCAAAGTCATCAAACGTCAAGAAGACAAGGAATCCACCAGCTTTGCGTGAACTGTCCAAGCGTGCAAGGCAGAAGCCGCAAGGTTGTCCTGTTGGAAACATGGATAATCTCCAGTGAAGAATATCCACTTCTATCGATGAGAAGATTCCTAATGATCTCGCGATCCTCTCTGCACAGCCGATATTCCAGCTAAATGCTATGGAGACGCCAACGGGCACCGCTCTCGCCATGATCTCATTCCTCCGGCGACGGTTCCCACCTCTCAACCGCATGCTTCTTTACACCCGCAATAATTTACAGCAACTATAGCTTGCAAAACCACTGTGGAAAACACCCCTCGGAGCGTCAAAAGACGCTGGAGCCTCTCTGCCTATCCGTGGGCTCTGCGTAAGGAGGGCTGCTGCCCAGAGGCCCCCGCGCGCCGGCGCCATCTTGCTGCCTTGAGTTTAGGAGTGAAGGGGGATGGGGCTGGCATTTGCAGACCTTGCAAAATCCACCGCCCAGCGTCAAATTCCTGCTCCAAAAATCATCGCCCACCACGTATCCCGCACGTTAACCCAAGTGCTGCTCTCAGTAGCCGCCGCCCATCCGTGTGCCCCGGTCGCGGACATCGCCCGTTGAGACGGTGGCTCCGCTGAGCGTGGTGGAGCCGTGGCTGGCGGTCATGCGTTGGTTGTTGCCCAGCACCATCTTGACACCATCTGACAGCAAGAAAGAGAAACGGGTCAGGCAAGGATACTTCTCTTGATGTATTATCATTGACAGCCACTTATTGGAACTGGGAGATAATCGATTCATAGACATTGTTTGTGTTTAACATTTGATTTCAATGAACTGATCATAGACACTGCTTTGCTCGGGCAAAATAGGAAGCTGACGGCCACCTCGTTGCCTTGTTCTGTAAAAAATGATGATGGTGATGATGGTGAAATGGATCAGGCTGGATTCCGGTTGATCGTCATCATTGCGAGCACAGAAAAGAAGTGCATAAGACGCTATGTGAGACATGGCGTGTTTATGCTGATAACATATTTATGGTGAACATGGTGTCAATTATGGAACTGTGCATGGGGAGCATGGAGACACGGAATGGGCACGCTTGCAGAGGAAACAATTTGACTGGTGCACTCGTGCTTGCTTCCCGTGCCTGGGAGCGATCGTGTGAAGACCCTCGGTTTCTGTATCAATCGTCATCATGAAAATTTACATGGCAAGGCAAGGGGATGGCCTTCGTTCTGGTTGACCATCAGGTCACAAGCTTTGGCACTCATCAAACAATTCATTGTCGATGTTCACCAACGCTGCTTTGGGAGAATAGTGTGCCAACTCCTGCACTGGTGTGCACTGTTGATTGATTGAGTAAAGGTGCAAGAGAAGGGTGGAATTCACCCATAGTAGCACTTGAGTCGCTTAACGGACAGTCCGCAGCATTACACCCTCTCCCCGCCCTCCCCCAAGAAAACAAGGAAAAACAAAAACTGGCACTGAACACTTTATGGCTTCGTGTCACTTGTGTCGCAACAAAATTGCTATTGGAGCAACACTTCCAGGATGACTAATGCACAGAGGAAACTTGCTCGGTCTGTACTCCCAAAGCGTAGCACTGTTCACACATTGGTTGGCTTTGTTGCCCACTAGCAGGAGCATATATTGCCCTGTCTTGTTAAAATCTTTTCCAACGGAGGATTTGGGCGAAGGTCTTTTCCAATGGAGAATTTGGGCTTATAGGGCACTGTGAACACTCAAAGGACAGGGAAGTGATTGGTGCCACAACTTCGCCCAAGTGGACGTAGTGAGAAGCTAAGGCACACACCTTTGTCATCCTCCACCTGGAACCTGGGACCACCAGAATGCTGTGACACATCCAGACCAGTTATCTCCTCATCCTGGGGGACACGAAGGATACCGAAATATCGCAAGACCAGGAACATGATGAGGCTGATGCTGATGGACCACACACCAATGGCGAGTATCCCGAGGGTCTGTGCACCCAGTTGCCTGCCGTCGCCACCATACAGAACGCCTGCCTCACTTCGGCTCTTCAGCCGGTCAACTGCAGGACAGGTGTGAGCATGCCAGGTCAGTGATGGAGATGGTCAGTGGTGGCAATCCATTCAGCAAAATTTGAACGTTACAAACGCTACCCCTGCATCTATAAAGCGGCAGCTGGGAGATTGACAGGCGATGAGGGTTAGATGCAGCCCATTGTGGGGACAGACTACGACCCTGTTTGCTCTCTTCCGATGTTTCCATCCCAGTATAAAATCACATGCCAATGCTGATGTGCACCGTTACTGGACTTGCAAAAGACTCTCTATCTTCACAAATGCATGCCAGTCTCTGGAGCACCCACAGTCAACCAATCCATAACCACTCCGATAGTCTGATGATCAAACCTCCCACTGTGTGGCAGCGCAAACTGCTATGGAATGGCCGATCAGATTGCTGTTCCGTAGTGCTGCAGGCACCCCTTCCATCACAGGGTCAATGGTCCAACACTTATGCGCAGCACCACATTCGCATGTTCCTTGATTAGTAACTAATTGGTGAATTCCTTCATCAGCTATTTGTATACTTGCTTTTTTAATAAATTACTATATTTACTCCAGTATTTTGTTACTTACTTAAGCAGCTAATCAACTGCCCAACTTTGATTATCTAAGCAAACAAATAGCCAACCACGGCACCACATGTGTCCCAATATCGCGCACCTCCATAGGAATTGTGCAAATTGGCGGGAGTGGCAAACAGCCCCACTGCAAACACTCCCCACATCCCACAGAAGAAGTGGACAGGGGAGGCATCCAGAGGGTCGTCGATTCTCAGCTTCAGGAGGGATGCAGAGGACGCTTTATACACCACGCCGCCTATCATGCCGATGACCACAGATGCGTAGGGCTCCACCACAGAGCAGCCTGCGGTGATGGACACCAGGCCAGCCAGGATTCCTGTGAAACACGTCAGTCACACCTTTCAACGGTCACCAGGCATTCTTATGTGGCTCCTGTGGGTGCCCACCATGCACACATGCAGTGATAATGTGGAAGACAGCAAGTCCGCATATATTGTATGCATCAGCACTTCAGTTTACCAGCCTAGTCATTTTATTGAAAACAGACAAAAGGTACCTCTATTGCAACCAACAGCAGCATTTAGATACCAAAGCGTCAGCAAAACGCTAAAATTCCAATCTAAACCAAAGATTTGCAGCCAAAAGCCCAAGACGTCACAATGCGCCGCCCCGCAATAAACAGCTGCTGACACCTCAAATTGAAGCAACACCTTGGAATAACAATGCAAACAGCACACTGAAATTTGATGCAACATCTTGGCACACAAAGAAACAGAAATACAAACAAAACTGACGGGGCGACGACAGATCGCTCAGTTCCCTAAGGCCGCCCACCATTGAGGGCCGGCGTGATGTCCGGCGCGCCCTCCAAGAAGATGTGCATCGTCAGCACCGTAGCGCACCCCGCCGACGCCGCCAGGGTGGTCGTCACGGCGCACTTGGACGCCACGTACATGCTATTGTAGAACGCGGCCGTGGACACGGGGTTGAAGCCGTACCAGCCGAACCACAGGATGAAGACGCCCAGGGTGGCCAGCGCCACGGACTGGCCGGGCAGGCCTATGGGCTTGCCCTCGGCGCTGAAGCGCCCGTAGCGCGCCTCCAAGACGGTGGCCGCCATCAGGGCCGCGCCGCCGCCCGTCATGTGGACCACGCCGCTGCCGGCGAAGTCGATGAAGCCCACGGTGTGGCTGAGGAAGACATCCGGCTCGCCGTTTTCGTCGACCCTGGGGGAGAGACATTCCCATCAAGTCGGGATTCCTTTTATACAAAGATACCGACTTCACAAGTTACGCCCAATCCGTGGTATGTCCCACTTTTCTTAGCCGCTCAAGGCAACCAATGTATAATAGCCAGGCCTGGGGGGAGCAACGGCCGTTTACCGTGGGCCTGGGACGGATGGAACTGTGTTGTTATCGTATGACTGTGATGGATAGCGGTGTTGCTGCCGCGAGACGGTGAAGGACAACGGCGTTGGTGCCAAGAGGCTGTCCCGCGTCGAGGATGTTGACTGAAAGTTCACGAGGCGTGATTTTTCGCTGGTGCAGCTGCGCAGCTGGGCATGGGCAAGGGCGGGCAGCCCCGAGGCAAAGGAAAGGAGAAACAACGGGCGGTGAGCGCGCACAGGCAGCGTGTACAGTGGCATGAATGTTGCAGGGCACCATTCGGTCCTGAGCAGACAATCTGCATGATTTCGCACTGCTGTTGACAGAATTACAAGGATTAACTCCAACTTGACCACTATGCGAGCATCACTCCCCGGCAGTGGCAAGGCGAAGGGAAGTTAACCTGCTGGTGGGCCATGGTCCTCTCAGACATAGAACACAATGAGGCCGCCCACGTGAATATTTGCCAACTTCCACCATGCCTTCTGTCATTCTCCAGATAACGTTCACATGGAAAAACATCAGTTCAAGCATGCAGCTCTTTGTAACATATGCATTAAAGGGTTTAAGCTTCTGCTCTCAGTTCAGTTCAGGACTTGGTGCCTGGCATCCTTTTGCGATCGTGATGGTTGGGACTGACATGCTCACACACTCTGTTGTACTGTTCCATGCACTGATCACCAGGTGTGCAATGCAAGACCTCATTTTCTTTTGATCCAAGCAGCATGCAAGGAACATTCAGTTCTGCAAACAATGCTTCAAACAGGCTGTGCCAGCGAAGGTCAGGTGTCCTCAGTAGACTGACTCTCATTGGGGCAACTCAGCAAAGCACTCTGGCTACACACCTGAAGGGAGACAGCCATCCCTCTGCTGACCACGCCCAGTGCACAACAACCGGGTAGACAAGCCCCGTCAGCACGATGGTGTAGATGACATAAGCTCTAAACTGGCAGCGCTCTGCTACAGCGCCAGACACTATGGTGGTGGCGGTCGTTGCAAATGCCCAGCTGAACAGCCAGAGGGCGAAATACTTGTTGGCATTGTTGAAATCCACCTCGTCCTCCCGTGGGGAGACGTCGTCGCTGTTGCTCATAAAAAAATTCTGCAGGAAGGTGGCACAGAGTTGATAAATCCGGCTGGACATGTCGATGGGACAACACACTCCCAGGAACCTAAGACACATGAAACCTCCAACGACAAAAGCTGTATCTTCGACAGAAATGGAGCACTGGGTACAACGGGCCAAACCCCTTGCAGCATTTTTCATCTGCTACAATGGCCAAAGACATGACAAAGCGGTGACCAAGCACCTATAAGGCGACGTATCACCCACTTCTGCAAGAGTTGTTTAGGATACTATCTCGAGTCAATGTGAGTGTTTTTTTGAGTCCTGCTCCTATTTGTCAGATTGCTTTCTGCAGCACACAATTGAGGTCACCATGCACACAAAAGGCGCCAGGAACACATGAGAAGAAGCAGTCGGATGGGCTGACAAAGGACCTGGGTAGTGTCCAGCGTCTCAGATGTGTCACGTCCCATCTGCCACCACACTGTCACTTTTGATCGCCCAAGACGCAATTAGCCCTTGGGCAGCATAACAGACTGCCCGCATTCGCCCAAACGATGCGAGCGCACAATTTTCCCCCAAGGCATTCAACATTGATTGACTGGATGCGAAATGAATCAAATTCAACTTACTATACTGGCAGTAATCAATGTAGTTATTCAATAAAACTACAGACCTCCCCATCTTAGGAGAGCCTGTGCACATCTACTGGCCCTGACAATTGCAACAGACAAAATGCAAGTCGGCTATCCAGTCTGCATTCATGCAATGTTGGCCTGGCAGTGCGTTCAGCTGCAAGGGGTGTTTGCATTCCTGCAATGAGCGCCCGACAGTGCTGCCGACCCTGGCAAAGTCGTCCTAACTTTTCGCACGTCGAGGGATAGAATCGCAAAGCACCTGGCAGGTCCGCCGTAGAAGTCAACAGCCATACAGGAGTTCGCTCGCCAACGCTGCAGATGTTATCTTGGATTGAGCTTGCCAGGATTGGAGGGCGCAACTCAGTGACCCGAAGGCAGGAGCAGCAAACGGCATCGGGAAAGTAAAACAAGGCAGGACAGCAACGGGCAAAACTCCCCGCTGTGAGAGCCCCCGAAGCAACAAAGAATGATACACTGCGATAATGCCCAAGGGAACATGGAAAGAAAACTTGGCGCGTTGGGCAATGTCGAAATTGAGAGTGCCGCCGGTACGGGCAGTGACAATGTGGCCATCGTGGATTGGACGACTTGTTGGCAGCCGCATGGAAACTGTGAATTTTTCAAACTGTCAACTCTTCGTTCGAGGCTACCTTGTAAATAACAGCCCTCGTTGTGAACTCTAGGCGCAGGTCCCCAGGAACCGCACCGCCTTTGGGCTGTTGCCAGCGGCATACGTTAAATCCGACCCGACCTTTCCCATTTACAGAGGTCGGGTCGGATTTAACGTACGCCGTTGCCGGCGGGGGCCACTGCAAGGGCGACGTCGCCCGTCGGCCCGTCAGTACTTTATTCCGCGGCACCGAAACTTTTTACCCAGAAAACAGTCATTCTCCTCGCCGACAAAAAAACATTCCGCCCGCAGCGGTACAGCATTGAGTCACATCAAGAGGTCGCGCGGCGTCGCTTCCCCGCCCTCAAATATTGACGCGAACTCAAAAAACCCCAGCGAGGAAAAAGCAAATCGGCAGAGCGGCACCACCACCGCCGCCATGGCGGACCCGCCCCCCACCCCCCTGCGAAATCCGATTGGGCGCCAACGATTCCAGGCTCTGCGTCACGGCTACCAAATTAGTAAGCCCCGCGCGACACCCATCAGGAGCGGGCAGTCCGACGTGGTTGGAGCGCCAATCCTCAGCGAGCTCGGCTGGCCGCGACCGCCGCGCCTAGCCGCGCCCTTCCCTCGCGGGGCGCCGCGCACTGGGCGGTGTCCCAGGGTCACAGTGCCCCTGGGCTTGGGCACAAACCCCGCGGGCAGGAGCTCCGTTCGGGATGCCGGCCACGGGGCCCAACGCCGGAGACTTCCGTGGCCATCACTGGGCAACACAAAAACAACGCCGCGGAGCCACCAACCGGGCGAGCAAGAGGTCTTGGGCGACACCCCGCGATCCCGCGGCACCGCATCAGTCTCAAACCTCCCCGTCCTTTGGGAGATCATCAGGGGACAGGGCCGACAAGTTTCGTCACTCAGGAGGGGGACACCCGCGTCCGGCAGGCCGGCACCAGCGCGCCCACTCACCGTTCCGCCGATGAACTCGTTTGGGTACTTCCCGTTCTCGCCGTAGGCAAAGGGGTAGCCCCAGGCCCACCACACCAGCGAGCCTAGCGCCGTGTCCAGGATGTTCTGCACCACAGACGGGCCCATCACGTCAGCGGGTGGTTGCCGGCCACACGTCAAATGGCTCCTACGACGTCGACCAGCGAAGCGCGCGGCTGGTCGGGCGGGGCGGGGGGGGCCCTCCCCCGCGCCGCGGGATCGAATGGGAGGCCGCCGGACCTCGGGGATCGGATCCCAGGGCGGCCGGGGCCCCGTCGGCGTGTCGGGGGTGCCCGGGAGTGCCCACGGCCTCCGGCAGCCACCAGCTCACCTTGAGCAGGATGTTCTTGGTGTTCTTGGCCCGCACGCTGCCCGCCTCCAGCAGGGCGAAGCCGCACTGCGCACCGCAACACACACGCCGTCAGGATCTGGGCCGTCTCCGCCGCTTTCCGACGACCCCGCTACGACACACCGCGCCCCCCTCCGCTCCCCATCATGGAGTGCATTCGGGCCCCCGAGGCGGGCGTCCGGGCGCACCCTTGCCCGCACACGCGACAAAGGAACCCGCGCGGTGAGAGCGGCAACCCGGAGCAGCGGCGCCGAAATGATCGCCGCGCTATTTTCCCCACCCACCCACCCCCACCCTCACGACACCGCCCTTCGCTGCGGCTCCCCCTGTGGGATCGCCCCACCTGCATGAAGAACACCAGGTAGGCGCCGAACAGCAGCCAAAGGATGTCCAGGTCCGCGCTCAGCTGGCCCTGCCGCCCCTCCGCGTTCAAGTGCGTCGTCACCATCTCCACCGACCCGTCATCCACGGCCACATCCCCGCCGAACTGCATCATCCCCCTTCCGGGCGCCATGGCGGAAACTGGTCACCGGCCTCTGATAGGGAAGTGGGTAGGGGAAGGGGGGCCGGTTTGGAGGGGCGGGGAGATGGCGCGGTCGCGGCCTTGGCGGGGCCGCTCGCGCGAGCCTGGGCTGGTGGCGCGATGACAGGTTGACGGAGAACAAGGCGAAGTACTTTGCGAGCGGCGTCAAGGGAATGTCCCCCCCTGGGTGGCGCCGCGTCGCGTGGCGCTGGGAGGCAAAGTACGTTGAGCCGAGGGGCAGCGGACGGGATTCGTGGCTGAGGGGGAGGTGTCAGAGGTGTATGGGGGGTGATGTACTGGAGGGTGGTGTACGAGGTGTGAGGCGTGGGGAAATCTGCGTCAACGGGTCCCAGTAAGGTTTTGTCGGGGGATTATCGGTTCAGTAGTTTAGTGTTGCGCCCCGCTGATGGGCGGAATGAACGCGGAGAGGGTGCAGAAGTTGCCCCATTGCGCAGAAAATGGCGGCAGTCATGTTGAACAAAATGAGGAGGGCCAGGCCTTTATAGACCATTCTGACCGCTCCCAGAATCGAACTCATCTTCGTTTCATCAATATTAAGCATCCAGGCCAGCCACCAGAGTAGGGTCACCAAGAGCTCCCCAATCCAATGGATGCCAGCGCCCAGGAATTTCACACCCCGTCCGACAGCGCCAGCCAACGCCGCCATGACGGCAGCTCCATCCATAGGCGTTCCCGGAAAGCTCATATCAACCTCGCACCTCACCACAGAGGTCTCCACCAGAAACGTACGACGCAACTCCCTCACAACATCCACTTGTTGCGCGTACCGGTCGATCAGCACCACCGTAGGGTGCTACGGCACTCCAGC